CATAAGTGCCTGCAATCTATCTCATGTGTCATGTAGTATAATAGGATTAGCAATATTGAGGTAAAGCGTCCAGTTTTTGGTAGGTGGGAGGAGAAATCAATCGACGAGGCTGTGAAATTACGTCGACTGAGATGGTCAGGACATGTGTTACGTATGCCTAGTCATCGCCTTCCTCGACAGACGGGCAATGTTAGCTGATATAGGGTCAGGTAGGAAAAGAGCTAGCGGCGGTCGAACCAAAACATGGCACCAGTCAATGAAATCTACAACAGTTAGTTTAAGCCACGTGGGAAGGGGTATACTTCCTGGTTGGGGTCCTCGGGATGGTAAAAACCAATGGAGGCTGGAGCCAATTGGTGATATAGCTCAAAATCGTTCTCAGTGATGGCGCAGATGCATCCACTCCTTGTGACTTATAATACCCAATGAAACTATATTGTTCTTCGATATTACTATTCCTTTCTCCCACCTCTGTTTACTGTCTTTATTTTGCATTTCTTCTACTTACTTCTCTTAATTTGTGTGCTACATGCAGTGTGGCGACTCGAACTGCTGCACATCGGTGCAACGTTCTATGTCGAAAACAGACAGACAGACAGATGCCTTAGTAACAGACAGTTTGCGAAATTACCCACAATGATATCTAAAGACGTCAAACGTTTTATACGGTACACAGCTCTTGTAACTATTTATTGATCATAAGAACTTTTAGCAGTTAATAGTGTGAGCCAACAGCGGAGCACAGGTTTCCATATAAAGTAGTAGGCTACAGGATTATAATCTTTTACTGACTTCTACATAATTCAGGACACGGTCAAAGTTAACACAGGCTGAGAATAAAATATCTATTGTGTCTTAAGTGGATTTGTAACAACAGAAGACAAGGGACAGGCAACAGATCCTTTATTTAGGAAATCAACAGATATTTATAGACTTTTATGTACATTATTATAGATTATTTTAAGCAAACAAACACCGTCTTCTGATTGGTAGTTTTTCGCTGAACGTTAATGTTTCTGGCTGTTTCTTGAATGTCAGATCATCTATATGCTAACTGTATATCCGCCTACGCAAAATCTGCTCTGGTTGGTTGTTGAATCAGTCTTTGTTCATATTTTTCTCACGACCAATATTGAAGACGTAAACATTGACGTAAATTACCATCCACCAAAATGGTTAGCAGCCAGCTGTCATCACAGATTGACTTTTATTGTCTTATACAAGTTAATCCCGGACAAGGATTTTACTGACTGGGTTCACAAAAAAACAATCCGTCGGTAGTTGTTCAAGCTGTTACAACAGTAGCCTTGTCCTGTTTAGATAACATTTGCGGTCGAGGAAAGCCGTGACTGTCTGTGTAGCACTTGTCTTAGCCATCTAACTATTTGATTTTTCTTGTCTAACGCAATTACTACTGATGATGAGTGGCTACTAGCACGAAACCTAGATCCAAGGCTTCCTGCCGATTGCCTCCAACCATCTAATATCACTGATCATATTGTACTGTCTTACGTGTATAATGGAATGAAGGCACCTTCGGTCCCAAACCGCTAATTTTCTCATGAATCAAGCAGGGTAGAGTGATCGGCTGCACAATATCCACGTACTTTATTGTGTAGCCATAATATCACACTTGCGTCAATTATGACGCAGGTTGGCATATACCGAATGAGCCTCTTGTATCCGTGCTGCTACTCTCTCAGCAATCAGTCGTTTGTGGCCAACGTAACTCTCCAAAATAAACAAAGTTGTCGAAATGCTCAATTACACTCCCCTACCTATCTATAAATTCGGAGTCAGCACTGACTAGTCATGCAGAATTATTTTACATTTGGCAAGGGCAAAGCGCATGGCAAATATGCTAATATTTCTCCATAAGTGCTGTAGATCATTGATACCTCCTTATAAATAAGTGAATCCTTAGGACATCAAAGTTAACTACGGTCACAGACATCAATACATTCAAGATGAATTTGATCAAGTGTACTGATTGAGTATCCACCGGATGTGTTCACTTCAGACGGCAACTCTTCAAACTCTCTTAAGCGAGTTAATGTTTTGATTAGCATAATAAGCATTCTCGGTACTTTCCCTTCCATCAGACATTCCCACTGCACCTCTGTTTACGAAGTCAAAAGTAACTTCAGGTTACGAAATACGTTAAGTGTTGGTAAGTTTAGCTGTGTAAGAACCTGTTCAAGGTTGGGAATTCGATAAATTCACCTTCGTCTGAACATGAAACTTCTGATTTTCCAGACCCCATTTAGTTTCTACAGGACTACATTACCTGTAGGCTTAGATACAGTACTTGTCGAGCTGGTCCTTCTGAATATCAGAGGAGAGTATGCATCCTTTCCAATGAACTAAGGTAATCAACGACCGATAACAACCTGGTAGGACCATCTCGGAACTCTACTAAGTGCTGCTTCGCTTCGTTTTAGGCCAGAGAGCTTCCTCAGCATCGATTACAGTTGGAGGACCGATGTCTACATCCTACTCCTACCGGGCTGGGATGCATGTAGGACTAAGGTTTAAGGAAGTGGAAAAGGTATAGTATTGTCAGTTGGACAAAAGGACGGCAATGAAGGTGAGTGGCGTGCACTTACGAAAGAGTGCAGTTGGTTGCTCACATTGTGTAAGTCGACTTCTTGCAATACACTTTCATGTGATGACGATAATATGGACTGTTTGTAGTCAAGATTCTCCACGCAGGTAACCAACCTCACGCGGTCGGATAAGTCGTGAAGTACGAGTTTCAGGGTCGACATTTCCACCGCTGAAGAGGAAAAGCAGCAATATTTGCTTGTTGGTCAGCAGAGAGAAACAATTTAGTGCTGCTGCTTTCCTGCCGCTAGCGTCATTTGTCGCCCTCAAACCCTCACTATGATGTAAGAAACCTACACCATGAAAGCAAGAGCTTCCCGTCTAACTGCTATTCAGAGACCCATTCGGGATGGTCAGCACGGATCCAAAAAGCTCGAGCTGCTGCTTTCGTTAACTTACACCATCTATGGTGTAGGCGTGACATCCGGCTATCAACCAAGGGACGTGTGTACTGCTCACCAGTTCGCCCCGTCCTTCTCTATGGCTCTGAAACATGGCCAATACGAGTTGAAGACATGAAAAGGTTGACTGTTTTTGATCATAGATGTCTACGATCTCTTTCTCACGTTAGGTGGTATAATAAGGTAAGTAATGTTTACGTTAGGCGTAGAGTGTTGGTTGGGCAAAGAGGGAAAATCAATCGACGAGGTTATAAAGTTACATAGATTGAGATGGCTAGGTCACGTGCTGCGCATGCCTAACCATCGCCTTCCCAGACAGGCATTATACTAGCTGATATAAGTGCAGGTTGGAAAAGAGTAAGCGGTGGCCAAACAAAAACATGGCCTCATCAATCAATGAAATTCTTGACAGTTAAACTGAGTCAGGTAGGGAGATGCAGACTTCCTTCTTTGAAGCTGAATTACGACTGACGTTCTCCACGAGACCAATGATTCGTATGAACGTGAAGGATAAGCTACCGCCGTTGGCCTCGTCTAGGTGTATCTACCAATTCACCTGTTCGTGTGGAGCCAGGTATATCGGTCGTACTCAGCGTTCGCTATCCAAACGCGTCAACGAACATTTACCTTCATGGTTTTATGAAGGAGAAAACCGATGCCCCCGCAGCTCGATGCTTGAACGTTTGATCGACTCTGGACACCAAGTCAAACCAGAAATAAACTTCAAAGTTATCTACAGAATACAAGGCAATCTAGCTAAAAGTGTACGGATCAAACTTCTCCACATCGCAGAAGCAATGGCAATTCATCTGTTAAATCCTGAACTCAGCATACAAAAGAAATTCGTTCATTCATTAAATCTACAATGAACGTAATCTTTCTTGATTTCAGTCTTACCAACTGTATTATTTTGTCTTGTGCATTTTATTATTTCACATCTTCATTTAAATTATTCTCTACCCCACCCTTTTGTAATCTCTACCCTCATTAACAATGGTACTAACTTGACCCACGTCCAATTTCTAGTCAACTATGTTACGTCATCCGATTAACTTAACTATTTTCAACTGTATTATTCTCTAACCCCACCCTTATTTAATTTTAACACTGTTGCCAACCTGACCTACTCTGAATTCTACTCAACTGTATTACGTCATCCAATTCACTTAATCAATTCTATTTGATTTTCTATCTTAACGTTTGTCTCCAAGCCAAATAATACTTATATTACATAATTATCTAAACTTTATAAATCTAATGTGCACACACACAAACAAAATTGTATATATATGCGATTGTACAGCTCAGTGAATGAATTTGCCGAAAAGAGTCTCTTCGCTGAACGCCTTCTTTTCTTTTATATGACTCTAGGAATCACTGGCTGGAGACAATAGGTGACATGGCTCAAAATCCTTGTCAATGGCTTACGCAGATGTATTCAGTCTCTGTATTCTTTCATATTCCTTTCTACCATTACTCATTCTCTTTCACTCTTATACTTGTCAGAGCTCTATTGATTCTCTTCACTCATCTTCTTGTCGACCTTTGTGCGCTGTTTGGAACGTGGCAACTCGAACTGCTGCACTTCGGTGCCAAGTTCTATGTTAAATCCAGACAGACAGACAGACATTTGGGATGGTAGCATCTCTGTGGAGACATTAGTTTCAGGTCGTTGAGTTGCAACCACGTCATGGCAGCAACCATCGGTCAAAGCCTGCCTGAGTAGTAGGTTGTTTGTAATGTCTTTGCCAGATTCTCAGAAGGGAGGAATATCAACCAACTCTGAGGTTTCCGATACACGCCTTACTTACTTACAAGTCTTAACTAACACAAAAACAAACTTCCAGACTCCTTACCGACTTGCTCCAATCATCCAACACAAACCAAATGGCTCTTGCAACCTATTTGTAACACAAAATCAAGAAATCGGTGCTTATAATAATAATTGCGTGTATTCGAATAACACAGTCAACAACGCAATAATCTGTATCACCATTAAGTATTATTTAAGCAGTAAAACAGTATACTTCTACTGTATCGTGGATGTGTTAATACATGCGAGAAAAATAACCTTCCACACAGTTTGTAGTTCCAAGAGAGCAAAAGTGGCTGTACAGATTCGTAAGTATGAATCAGATGGTCAAACATCAGTAGAAACTGTGGTCTTTGAAAATCTCTGTTCAACTTGCTACTACTACTCATCATCGACGGTGCAGAGTAGTAGTAGTAGTTTTCCAACCATAATTTCGGATTCTCGTAGAATACATCAGCTTCGTCTGTGTACTGATAGTTGTTGTTGTCAGGTTTAAATTTTCTTAGATCTGGTTCGCAAGACAGCTGTCTAAATGTGATATTTTTATGCAGATATCTGGAAAGGTAGAGTAGAACAAAATAAACAAAGTAAGTTATTCACTAGTTATGTGTAGCGTCTGCATAGCGTCAAGGGATAATTCAAAAAACAACCGCCATAATATATATGTGAATATATGTGAAATGGTTTATTCATTCTCTGCGTAAGCACCTTAATGTGTAAACTAATACCACCAGGACCGGAAATGATGAGATTATCACTAGGCTAATAAAAACTGGAAACGCACCTAACATTGAAGTATTTTTGTTGTTTTTTACAAACAAATCAGACGACACTTGGTGGATGGTGACTGACTAGCAGTGGAATCCGGGATGCGCATTTCGCCTGTACTATTTGGGATTCGTCATCTGGGCGTACCTGCATTCATCAGCGAATGATGATGATGATGTTCCCACCAATGAGGCTCGAACCCAGTGCGCATAGTTTCAAACGCCGAAGCGTTATCAGACGATAATCTGTAGTCTGTAAGCAGCAGCATACGGTTGTCACTGTAAATGTAAGTTTTCTTAAGAAATGGCACGAAGTATTCTGGAAAGTGGTTTCATAGTCCAACAGTTGAACACTACCCGTTCATCAATGGAGCTGAACAACAGTTTTGGATTAAGAGGTAATACAGATGTAATACACGGATAACTGTTAACTTGGTACAAATATATGGATCAAAATCGTTCTCGACGGCTGCAGGAGATGCATTCACTTACTCTTTGTGATTTATAATATCCAATAAGACTTTATTGTTCTTCCAAATTACTATGCTTTTCCCCTTACTCACACTTCTGTTTATTATCTATCTCTTTACTCTCTTGCTTTCCGTGCTACATGGAGGGAGTGTGGCAAGTTGAACTGCTGCACTACTCCTGTGCAAAGTTCTGTGTTGAAACCATTCAGTCACTGGTACAAACATAATCACAACAACATTGGAACTTGATTTATATATAGTCCTCGTTCTTGTTTCCCCTTTGTCGTAAGGGTAGGAGGATTTTCTAGATGTCCGGGGAAAAAGCAAATTTTGTCGTCCACTACATAACACTGTTTTACTCTGTGATATATACGGCAAAAAAATAAATATGAAGTTACATGCTACCATACTACTCAAGTTTTACACATATGTACCCCTATAAACAACCAGGTACTGCCGAGGCCGCATAGACTCCGGCCTACCTCTCTCTAGGAATGCCCTCTCCTGTGACCAAGCATTCACACACCGTCTGCGACATAAGTCCTATTCACTATCCTCCAGCGGCGTCGGAGCTATTACTCACAAAAGTGATGGGGCGAAACTGAACGCCTGGCGCCTACACAACCGGACTGGTGGATATGCTGGTCTGCCTAGAAGAGCTGGAAAATGCTGATTGCTACCACATGGTGTTATATATATATATATGGGCTCCAGGATCTGAAAGTACCAAATGGGAATATGAACGTGTTTTGATCATCGGAAACCATGGGAACGCAGCTGCTGACGCTGCTCCACCACGGTGTAGATAAGACTTGAAGTCAAAGGCTCGGGGGAGTGGTCCCTTAAGACAACCACGTGCTTTAGTCTGGTGGTCCGTTCGCACAGTATTCCAGCCCCGTCACACGAGGCATGAAATTCTGTGTGACGCATCTCTTGTTGCGCATAATGTTTACCGAGTTTGTGTTCTAATAATAGTAATAATACTATAGACATGCACACTACTTTATTATTATTACAAAAGCCCTGCAATTAATGTAGACAAGATCGTTAACAAACAAAAGGTGTAGCAATGAAGACGATGTCAGTGAACAGCATCAATTCACTATTAGTTTTCTATAAGATTTCAAGGCTAATAATAATAATAATTTGCTTTATTCCGAAACAGTACTTGTGATACAGAATGGAATTCTCAGCATTTTTACTACAGTATTGCATCCACTTAGTACATTATCAATAAATAAAATTCTACATAGATTATGGGTAATCTCAGTTAGTTTTGACAACAACATATTAGCACATCGGTAGGTAGCAAAGCCAAAAGTGAACAGAATGTTTGAAGGTGTTAGAAAAGAACTAGATACTAGCATATTTACTGGCGCGTAAGCGGTAACAAAAAGGTCGAGATATACAGGGTGTGAAAGAACGAAGAAGAATGTTTTAAGTAGAGTTTGTAAAGAAGAGAGAAACAAAACAGCACATAACAACAAAAAGAGAAAAGGAAAAGAAAGCAAGCAAACGTTGCACCTATAAATGATATACGTTGGAAAGACGAGATCCAATTTTTCTACTGACTATCTAATAAGTTATAAGTTTCACGTCTAATGCTTTCTTTATCGCACAGAACACGAGCTGAGTAGGGTATGGTTGAGTTTTTGTACTTGCTAGTGCGAGCATTTAGTTTTCTATATAGGCTTCTGGTCCTGCCTGATGAGATACAAGGGGTGAGTTAGATAGAATGGATTTAGCCCATTTTTCACATGAGTCCAAGTACCTGTAAACCAGAATATTAACAAGCTTGTTAAGTGGCACGTTGCTTACCCTGCTGACAACCTTTAACACCCTACGTAATGAGACATAGTCCTCCTTCATTAGTCCGGGAAAAACTGAGGGGGAACAATACAGAATAATATGCAGGATGCAAGAGTCAACGAATCGTAAGAGTAAGGGTTGGGTTATTCCAGAATGTCCTAACTTCTTGATGTAGAAGGTAAGACGGAATATTTTCTTAGAAATCATCAAGATATGAGACGACCAGGAAAGACCAGCAGATAGAATGATGCCACATCTATGTTGCACACCTCGTGAGTGCTAACCAGTTTGTTTAGGTCGGATTTATACTTAAAGGTGAAATTGACTGTTTGACATTTAGAGGGATTAAAGGCAAGACCGTTTTACTTGAACCACTGGCTGATTTCTGATAAAAAGCTATTTAGTTTAGAGCAGTCACTTTGACATTTGACAGGCAAAGATACAGTCAGATCGTCAGCGTATTTAACAAAATTAATGTCATTTGAAGATGCTAAATCACGTAGAAAGAAAGAAAAGAGAAGTGGGGAGAGTACAGCACCTTGGGGGACACCAGCTTCAGTTAGCACAGCAGTGGAGGATTTACCTTTGTATACGGTGTACTGCATTCTGTTTGAGAAATAGGAATGCAACCAGTTTGTGTCATAGACAGCTTATTTAGCAAGAGACATCTAGGTACAGAGTCAAAAGCAGAAGTGAAGTCAAGAAACGTGCAACGAACGTATTTGGCACCTTTATCTAATGATGAAACGATACTATTGTGTAAGACGGCTGCAGCGTCTAAAGTGCTCCTACCCTGTCTATATGCAAATTCTTCATGGTCTTCAAAACTTTTAAGGGAGGGTTCAAGTTTAAGAAGTACTAGTTTTTCCATCAGCTTTAGAAACGGGGAAGTAATGGCAATGGGTCTGAATTTTACATTCTTGCTATTTCCAGGTTTAGGGACAGGGACTATTTTAATGCCTGTCTTTCCATGCAACTGGTACAACGTTTTGGAAAAAGAAACGTTTAGGATGTTAGTGATATAAGTATAAAACTTGGATATTGTGGTGGAGCATATGAGCAATAGTTTGTGCTCGAAACGTGGTCATCAGTTAATATTACTGTACAATACTGTGTGATTTATCAAAATAAAATCTTATCCATAATGGAGTTTACGATGTTAGTAAGTGGAGAACATAGAGCATCTGCACATTGTTTTAGAACATAAGCAGGTACACCATCAGGGCCAAGGCTACGTGAGGGCTTAAGCGTTTTAAGACATTTTAGAACATCAAGAGTATTACAGTCATGAAGTTTTTTTTTGTAGAAAAAGCTTACCCTATCGACGGAACAGTATGACATGGCATTAGGCATAAAACTGTTGTAAGCTCATTACTCCTCCCAAGTTGTTTTCGGGATATTTCTTCGTTTAGGAAGCTAACTGCCTGCAAACCACCGCGTTGATGCACTTGACAGGTATACAAAGCCAAAGGGATCTGTGTTACAAGGATGAAGCATATCAAGTATCGACGTCGGGAATACTGACTTCGTAGAGATTGTAGTCTAGACTTGTAACGATGAATAAACCATACTGAGGTAACTCCACAAAAATACATACCCAATGGAATCAATGGAAAGATGAATCGAAATTCTTTGTGGGAAAGAAAACTGAAAATCAGTTGAACAAAAGGATAGACGACTTATCATAGAACAGAATCTCAACACATGTGTATGCATAAAACAATAACAGCTAGACAATAAAAAAAATCGTGATTTGCATCATCTTATCTTACGTTTGTTGCGAATAGGACTATAGCATTAGGTAGGTGGGGGGGGCAGTGATCACCCTCAGAACACTTGTTATTACCATCCAAACTGACGTCGGTTAACCAAAAATGATACAGTATTACCACTAGTAAAGTACGCCAACAACAGCAGTGTAAGAAAGAATGTCATCGGTAGAAACAACTTCTTGTGAAATAGGATAACGTGGAACCAGCACTGAAAAGCAGTCCCGGATACAATAGTGTACGTACCTATGGCGAAAATAAGATATGCATAAAATTACCTCAATAATTTACTAAGAGCTATTTACATAGGTGCCATACAGGGTGCCATACCCGAATGCATAAAAATTGGTGGCGTCCGACTGTTGCTGAGACTTGGGGGTTTAGTGAAACTATGATACCTACAGAGTTCAATGACTAGTTACCACACAGTGAGTGATACAGTGTTATATCTGCTCAAAATAGACTGATTCAATCTGCAGTTATCAACTATTGCAGTGCTGAAATTCTACTCTTCTATTCATCATTACTAATTCCCCCACCCCCACAGTCCTCCGAAAAATGTGGAGAAAAAGCAAAGTGATTGGACAAAGAATAAGTCTTCTTAACAGCACTTTTAACAACCGCCAACCTTCGAAAATATACTCTGCAGTCGCATACAGTAGACTTACACTGAAAAAAGTCCTTCCATCAGAGTCAGATTCCAAAACAAGTTCTTTTTGAGAATGAAAATATGGACCAAAAGGGTTTAATGGTGATAAACCAATGCTATCACTGTTGGCCTCATCAGTGTGCATCTACCAATTCATCTGATCGTGTGGAGCTACGTATATCGGCCATACCCAGAGTTTGCTATCCAAACGTATCATCGAACACTTACTCACAGTCATGGTTTTATAAAGGAGGAAAAATGTCCCCCAACAGAAGCTCTATTCTGAAACACTTGATCGAATCAGGACACCAAGCAAACTCACAAAGTAACTTCATAGTTATCTACACAATGCGTGGGAATCTTTCTAAGATGAGTACGAATCGAACTCCTTCAAACCGCAGAAGCAATGGCAGTTCACATACTAAAACCTGAACTCTTCATACAAAAGAGGAAGCTTGTTCAGTCATTAAATCTACAATGGACCTGATCTATCTCAACGCCAAATACGTAATTTTTGTTTCGTCTTTTTCTTGCTTGTTTGTTTCTTAATCGTATATTATTTTCCTCTGACACCCCTTATTTAACCTCTACCCCTTACTGCCGAATATATTTGTGCGTTGAAGTTTTAGTAGCAATTTGGTTAAGTTAGGGGGTGGAGTTGCTAGCACCACGCCCCAACCCTCCCTCTTTATCCGGGCTTGGGACCGGCTAGAATACTAGTGACCTAGTAATCTAGGCGAGTTGTTGTTAACTTGACTTTATTCAGTTTTCATTTTAGCTGAGCTTTACTCAACCCCGTTAATTAGATAACATCAGTCAACTTGCTTGTTCAATGTTATTTTAGTTTCTAATCGATTAACAAAATCTGTTGTCTAAGACTTACAATTTTAATGACACATCCTTGCAAATGTTCCTTTTGTTGCTATATATATGCGATTGAACAGCTTGAGAATGATATGGCTGAAAAGATCACCTCTTTGCCGAACACCTTTTCTTTTACATGACTCAAAGAGGAATTTTAAGTGAAGATAAGTTGATTTATTGCTATTACTTGTTCTTCATGTACCGGGCTTCAGCTACACTACTCCATTGTACTATGTTCTCTACCGTCACTTTAAACCGGCTTCACGACTGCGCACAAGCCTTCATGTTTTCTTCACATATCCTCCTGCATGTTGCCTGCGGATCGACACCCACTGGGAGGCCTGGCGCTCATGATGTCATCCAAAGTCGCCTCAAAGTGTCTTCGACCCCTCTCCATTTTCTTCTTGGTTGGTTTTATGTCTACTAGAGTTCTTCATTGTTTATCTTTTTTGGTTATCTAATCTTTGGTATCGAGCTAGCGAAGGTAGATGTTAATGAGAGTCTGCTGCAGACCTTTGGAAATCCTTTAGATGACTCGAACGGCAATTGTTTAATTCACCCACTGATGACTACTGCTTGCCGCTACTGACCGTGTTGTTGCTAATGTGTTGTAGAATTGTCTGTCTTTCCTAAAAATTTTCACTTCTTCATTCAGTGCAGTGTACTTTGAACTCAGTTCCTACTTTTCTTGTCCATCTTTTTACCAGTTCATCTTCGGTTTCAACATTCCTCTCTCCTCTATTAGCTTTCACGTGTCTGTAAGGAACCATTCCTTGTCTTCCTTCTTCCTCCTCCCTAAGATGCTTGTAAAGGCTTTCTTTAACATTGTTTCCAGATATTTCCAGTGTTCTTCCACACAGGTTTCTCAGGTGATGTCCTGTAATGTCTCTTAATTTTCCCTGATACCTGCGGCAGAAGTGAGAGTTGTAGTTTCGTCCTTCAGTTTCTGGGTGTTGGACATATATCGTGGTCCATGTCTAACTTCTTTGAAGGTTTTTAACTTGACCTTGAGGGTTGATTGCATTAGACAGTGAGTGATCTGAGACCACACATGCTCTTCTTTTCGACTTTGGGTCCAGCAAGCGACGTTTCCACTTTCTTTCAGATTGGGATGAAGTCTATCTGATTTTCAGTGTTTCCTTCAGGTGAAACACTCGTTGCTTTGAGTACATTTTTATGCTTGTAGACACTGTCCCCAATCATGCAACCATTAAACTCTCAAAAGTCTGCGAAGATCCTACAGTTCTCAATAATTTCACCGAGCACTCCTCGATTCATGATGAGTCTCCGCTTCCTGTGTCATCTGTTCGCAGTTTGGTATCAACATCAAGGGTTTGAAATATGATGTCGATATTCGACTTTAGTCTTGTTCATTACTGTTTGCAATTGTTCTTAGAAGTCTTCATTCTCTCCTTCGTCTGAGTTGTTTTTAGAAGAGTAGCACTGAATAATTGTAACTTGACATCATTTTAGTCGAATCTTGCTGTCATTATCCTGAAGGAAAGCTTTGGTTGCTGTTGGTGACACCCTTGTTTTTCTCATGGTTGTCGTTTGGATGACTGAGGTACACTACTGACTGTGTGGTTAACACTTTGGAGAGTCCACTTTCTTTCTATATACCGTCGCAGATTCCTAGCACTTGTATACATTATCTTCGCATTTCTTCTGCTATCTGAGCAGCCTAGGCAACTACTAGCCAGCCAGTCTCAAATACGATGCGGACATTACATGTCCCCACGCTTACTTTTGCTTTCATCGGAAGAAGACTCACAGAACGAATAGCTTTCCAAAGGTTTTCGTCTACCGGCAGAGAATGTAGGAGTCTTCCCGATTTTAACGAAGAATAAGTTGACTTTTTAAGAGCTTTGAAGTCTCAGTAATGAAGATTGTTTATTACAAGGTAAAGTTGTCAGTTACTCATCCGGAATTCCCTGTTTTTCGGGCTTAGGACCATCTACTGAGCTAGACAAGGTTTAAAAGGTGATTGTTCTAGATAAAGTTAATTTTACAATGTGATGAAAGCAAATATGATTATATGGATCAGAGACTTGGCCAGAGCGTCACGAAGGGCACTTCTAACAAATTACAGACCTTCATCAATAACTGTCTTCGCTCAATACTCAAGTTCAGATGGCCGGTCAGAAAAGATCAGCAACAGGGATCTCTGGGAGTAAAACAACCAGAAACCAATTGTGAAACAAATAGGCAGGAAGAAATGGAGGTGATTGGATTGGCCATACTCTGAGAAAGTGATATCACACACCAGGCCATCGCTCGAGTGGAACTCGAATGGGAAGCGGCGAGTTAGTTGGTCATCAGTGCAAGGGTGACATGGAGGAGGAGATAAAAGCATATGGGCAGACATGCAGTTAGGTGAAAACATTGGAAGAGAATCGAACGCAATGGAGACGTGCAGCTGAAGCCCTACTTTCCTCTAGGAACTAAAGGAAACAATAATAATAATAATCATAATGACTTTTCCATGATATACTTTTGTATACCGAAAGCAGGTTATTAATATGTCACTCTTGATAGTCATATTTCGAGGCATGGTTTCTGTATGGCTGGTAGACTACAGCTTTCCCACATAAGATACTAACTAACATACGCTAATGAACTACTTTCCAAAACACTGAGATCCCCCGTTCAATTCTTGCTTGGCAAATTGCATCAGCTCCAATCGACTGCTTGCTGACGTGTGTACTGTGTTCAGCAGTTCTCTCAGTCGTCGTTTATAACTGTGATACATCGACATCGAAAGTGGAAGATATTAAGCGGTTATCTGTCTTTTTCCACAGACGCTTGGGTCGTACTCCCTGTCTTAAGTGGTGTAACATGTTAAGTAATAACGAGGTTAGGCATACAGTGCAAGACAAATAATGGAAGCCAATAGATGAGAATGAGAGGTGATATCGATTGAGATGGTTAGGACACGTGTTGCGAATGCAAAGCCACCGGCCTCCCTCGACAACAGGCAATGTTAGTCGACACAGAATTAGGTTGGAAAAGAGTTAAGGATGGTCAGGTCAAAACCTGTCATCGGTCGGTCAGTAAAGTCTTTGACTGTTGGTTTGAGTCACGTCATGTAAAGAGGTTAGACTGCCTAGTTCGGGATGCTAAAAATCAAATAACCGAAGACTATTGGTGATATGACTCAAAATCACTCCCAATCTTTATCATTTCCCATATCCATTTAACTTCAACGATTTTCCGTGTTATTTAGCCTTTCTACCTCACATTTCTGCGTATAATTGTACTTTTGAATCCCTCTTTTTTCCTTCTTTAAGTTGCCTTTGTGTGCTATATGGAGTGTGGAGGCTTGAACTACTGCACTTTTATGTTGGAAATCAGTCAATCATTCAAGA